TTTTTTCCGTAGTTATAACAAGCGATTTCATTGGATTACAATTTGTTTCTAATGACGCTTTCTTGCCGAAATCTACTACAAGTTTCGTGATTGGTCAATTTTGACCACGTGACCTCAGGCAGCCAATCAAATTATAGCTGTGAAACCAAGCTCGTGTTTGATAAATTTCAGAAGTTGGCGAAAGATTTTTTGTTAAATCGTGTTATTCTGAACGTTTTAAGCAGGAAATCACGATATATATTAAAAATATGGAACTTCGCGAATGTGTCGTGCTAGGTTACGAGCTGTGACAAAGATTTTTCATGCATATATTTTTGCATTAAACGTTGTGTCCGAGCCGAGAATTCAAGGCGACGAAAGCCGAGATGTCATTTGACTTACATTACACGCGATCGCACGAAACGATGGAAATAATAACTTAGATGTAAGTTTGATTACTTTTAGATATATTTTTGTTGATTTTATTTATCACTTTGTATAATATATTTAAAGATTTGTTTAAAACGTCTTTATTTTGCTCTTTGATGTGGACCCGTTGTCGAAATGTGTGTCCGAGAATTTTATTTTCAATAACATCGCGGGAAATAGTAAATAATTTTTTAATTTATCGATAAAAAATGATAAATTGAAATGGAATACGTATTTCAGACATTGTGAGATGTGACACATTTAATAAATGAATGATATTACAGGTAGATCTAGGTCCATAAAAATATATACTATTTTGACGTGACGTGAGATAAACACATATTGATGATTTGAGATTTGCCGAGCGCGCTCCCCCGCCTCGGCCTCGGTTAAACGGCTCATCGTCTATAACGCCCACCAATTATTTGGACCCCATTGGTAGCGTTGTAGCGAGGGACCACTGTATTTGGTTGATATCTAATTTACATGTACACTTGCTGCACATGATTTGGTTATTATAAGTGAGACTGATACCTTACATAACATGTTATTTAAATACAGCCCTATCAAGTTAGTGAGCACATATTGGTGGCAAAAATTCACATACACGACTACAATTGCATTGTAGAGTAGTAGTAGTTAGTGAGCTAAAGTTTCATTTCATTTCTTTTATATTAATGTGTATTCATAGCAAACAGACAGGTACTATATTCGTAGAAAGGTACAATTCACACTTACGACTAATTAATAAACTATCTAAGAACAAAGGAAATGTTTTTCTTCTTTTATCCATTTCGCTTCGAAAATGGTTGTGTTGTCTCTAATAACGTTGTCATAATTACCATTACTTAGAATGAGACCGTGATATGGCAAGACCTATCCGCTCACTGGGATAAGTTACAGTCTCTGGTGCAACGAACCATGACCAGTGTTTTAAAAACTTTAGTTCTTTGTTCTTACATGTATGTTATGAAAGAACACTTGTTTAGGTGTCAGATGTGGATCTATGCCACTATTTTAATTATTTGAATACTTTTTGAGGTTTGTTTTCGGTAAAAAATACAGAGTTATGTAACCAGGTAAAGATGAAATATCATTTGTTTAAAACAAAATGATGAATAAGCCAAACATGACGTCTGTTGTAGTCGCCCCATTGGTTTGACGTCATATCACCTTACAATAAGTGCATATTGTCTGTCAGGATAATTATAATATGACAACTACATGCTGCTTATGATACTAAGTAATGGAGGACATGAGTGCAATTCAACAAATGTTAAGTACATATAATTGTATATATATCATAAATATACATACCATGCTCAATGTGTGAATGTGAATGTGTCAAAAGGAATGTGATAGACGAGAGCGTTAATGCAGCTGGGTACCTACTACTAGACTTTCTTATAGACTGTAATATGTGTGTTGTTAACGGTAGACTTGGAAACGACAACCTCACTTCTGTGTCGAATAGGGGTCGGGCCGTAGTGGATTACATTATTGTGCCTCATGAGCAGCTGAATGATGTGTCAGATTTTAACGTGCATCTTATGTCAGACGTACAGAATTTTACTACTCAGATGGGATGTGACTGTATTCCTGATCATTCTGTACTGGATGTAACGCTAGACTTACTTGCAATTCAACCAGATTCTAAGTCTGACGATATGAAGCTGTTATCGGGTTGCTGGGATATACCAAGGTACAATGTAGCTAATATACCGGACAGTTTCCTGAATGATGAACATACTGCACGCAAATTACAAGATACACTTCAGAAGATAGACGATGCCCTAACACAAGGTCAAGACGCTCACTCTGCATATGAGAAGTTTACTACTTTCATTAAAAAAGAAATGGACTTAAAGCTAAATAAGATAAAGACATTTACTGAGAAAAACACCAACAACAGGTATTATTGTAGGCGAAAGCCATATTGGACTGATGAATTACAATTATTATGGGATGGGGTTGGTGTAAAGGAAAAGCGCTGGTTGTCTTTTAAAGGTTGTGTTCATCGTAAACGTGTTCTTAAAGGCGTTTTTCAATCTGCAAGAAAACTGTTTGACAAAGCAAACCGCAAGGCGAGAAGATCATACCAGCTACAGAAACAAGAAGAACTAATCAGTTTACAGAACATTAACAGCGGCAGAGACTTCTGGAAAAAGATAGGTCGACTTGGTATAGCCAACGACAGAAAGTCTAGTTCCGTTATCCCTATGGAGGTGTTGATGCACGACGGGTCCGTGACCTGTGAGACTGACACTGTATTGGATCACTGGAAAACCTCCTACAGCACGCTTTATAACGGTAGTGAGAATACAGCGTTTGAACGTGCTCATTATGATACTGTGTGCGAACGTGTGCGTAGCGGTACCGTGGAGTGTGCAGATTATGATCTGTCGGATTTGAACCGCTCTGTCTCAGTCCAGGAAGTTGACCATGCTGTTATGCAGATGAAGACAGGAAAAGCGCCTGGGGTAGACGGTATACCGGTAGAAGTACTACGAAATCCTCATTGTATTAACTTACTTCACCATATCATTAAGTATTGTTTTGAACATTCAGTGTCGCCGTCTCAGTGGGGAGCAGGACTAATAACTCCTATTCCTAAGGACAAAAGTACCCCGTCAGATCCTTTGTCTTACAGGGGCATTACTCTCATATCAATACCCTGTAAAGTCTACACGTGTATACTGAACTGTAGGATACAGAAGTGGTTGGAGTCAAATAATATTCTTGTGGAAGAGCAAAATGGTTTTAGACCTAAGAGAAACTGCACTGATCACTTATATGCACTTTATAATATTGTTAATAACCGTAAAGCCTCTAAACGATCTACGTATGTCTGTTTTGTTGATATTAAGAAGGCGTTTGATAGGGTTAATCGCAATTGCCTTTGGTACAAGCTTATGTCTATTGGTATTCATGGTAAAATGCTACAAGCTGTACAAGCCTTATATATGGACGTAAAGTGTGCAGTTAAGCTCAATGGTTTTATCACTGAATCTTTTAATGTTACCTTGGGCGTTAAACAAGGATGCAAGTTATCGCCAACGTTATTTTCCGTTTATATTAATGATTTGGTGTTAGACATGAATAAGTTAAACTGTGGCATACCTATTGAAAGTTCTGTGTTATCAGTTTTGTTGTATGCTGATGATATAGCCTTGTTAGCTGAAGACGAAGACTCGTTACAGAAAATGTTAAATGTTTTAAATATATGGTGTCAAAAATGGCGTTTGGATATTAATTCAGACAAAACCAAAATCATGCATTTCAGAAACAAATCTGTGGCTAGATCTGAGCGAGTATTTGTATGCGGCAAATCTATTATTGATTATGAAAGCTCTTACAAATATCTTGGTTTAACTTTTAATGAGCATTTAGATATGCACAAAACAGTCCAGGTACTGTGTAAATCGGCTAGCAGAGCTCTTTCTGCGTTGTATTCAAAGTTTAAACACGCGGGTGGCATGTCTTACGAAGTATTTAACAAGCTTTATAAAGCTCTTGTAGAACCTGTTCTATTTTATGGTGCTGGCATTTGGGGTTTGAATAAGTATAAGGAAATAGAAATAATTCAAAATAAGGCTTGTCGTTTGTTTCTAGGCGTAAGAAAAAATGCCCCAGTTACTGCTATGAGGGGGGACATGGGCTGGTGTTCTGTGAAAGTGTCACAGCACGTTGAATGCTTTAGATTATATTTTAGAATTCAGAATATGCAGGCCCATCATCTCCCTCTTATCATTCATAATTGGTCCAAAATCCGATCACAATCCTGGGATAAAAAAATCGTAAACATTTTAGCTCACTATAATTTGTCAAATTTACCTTATTGTGGATACAGCATTAAACAGTGTGTTGACCGTGTAAAGTGTTTCTTAACTGCTGAAGATTGTGATATGTGGTATACTGCGCTATGGAATGACAAGAATAATCCAAATGGCAATAAATTACGCACATACAGAATGTACAAATCATCACCTACTGCTGAGCCTTATTTATGTCATGTACGTTTTAGAGATCATCGAAGACTTTTAGCATCCTTTCGATGTGGTATTTTACCTTTACATGTTGAGACCGGCCGCTACGCCAAGCCACCTACCCCACTGTTGGATAGGACTTGTAAATATTGTCACGCCAATCCTACTAATGATCATGTAAATTATGTTGAAGATGAATGTCACTTTTTAATAGAATGTCCATTTTATGATGATTTAAGATACAACTTAGCTAAAGAAGCAACTTCTGTAGATAAAACATTTCATTATATGAGTAGTTTAGAAAAGTTTATTTTTATTATGAACGAAGAATCGCTCCAATGTATTTTAGCCAAATCAATTTACAACATGGTTAAAAGAAGGCAATTTCATTTTAAGCCAAGTATGTATGTATGACTTGTATGTATGTATGTATGTATGTATGTATGTATGTATGTATGTATGTATGTATGTATGTATGTATGTATGTATGTATGTATGTATGTATGTATGTATGTATGTATGTATGTATGTATGTATGTATGTATGTATGTATGACGTGATGTGTGGGCGGCGCAACGCGGTTCGGGGGAGTTAAGGGGGAGCGCACTGTTTAACTAAGGACTTTCGAAGTCAGTTGCCCTGTATCCTGGCATACTGGTGCGCTCTTCACTGAAACCGCCCACGGCCGTGCTCCGCGCCTGCATCACGAGGTATGTATTTTTTATTCTGTTTCATATGAATAGTTTTATGATTGATATGTTTTATAGTGTCTCGTAGGTCATATTTGGCCGGATGTTATATTTTACTGTTTTGTATATATCGTATTACGAAGTGTATATAACATGTGACACTTTAATAAACAATATTCTCTCTCTCTCTCTCTGTCAAAACGTAGATTCTTACATGTAGCTGTACACCTTGAAGAAGATTAAGGGTAGTCCTGATTTCTCAAGCAGAAAGGGCATGTCAAACAAATGTCAAACAAACAACACACCAGGGACTGGCCATCCAAGCGGAATGACATACTTTATTTTTTAACTGATACTATTAACGATAAACTGAAACTATAAACATGCTTAAACATGTGGGTTAACTCCCTCACACGTTTATATGCATGCTGGTTATGTGTTGAAGCTTTCTATAATCTAATGACTATACTGTTGTGTTATGAACAGATATGTTTGTTTAAGGAAATGATATTTAAAAGTCAATTCCTGAGTAAATTCGAGGTTATGAATTTTCATTTTCGGTGGACAAATAGTTTGTTTTAGATCTAGTCTGTGTTTACAAAGGAAATTCACAGTCTTTCACCATCTGCTGGAATTGCCGCCGTGAACGATACAACAATATGCAAGCTTTTTAAGGGATGGTAGATATTCAGAATAAATTCAGTTGAATACTCAACCAAGCCTAAAGTTTCATTCTATGACTTTTCTGGAGTTTGTACAGAATTACAGCTTTTTAAACATTCTGACAACATGCACAAACCTGAAATTCACACGTGTATGGTACTATCCGGGGAAACTACATGCATTCTTAAAAGAGGGATATGTCCTTATAAGTGAAGTTGTAACATCGTACCTCACAGTAACAATATTACAAAGGTTGTTTCAATTTAATCCTCTTGGTCACACTTACTAGCACGCAACAGTCTTACCTTATTCACCTTCAAACTCAGATCTGTACAACTAAGAATACTCTTTCACAGAATGTAGGCGAATGTATTTGTAATTATTTATTTTACATGTAAGTGTTTTATGCGTAATGTTTTCCTTTATCATTCAAGTTAAAGTTCCATATAATTTGTCATTCTTGTTGAGTCTTCGCTCACAACAGAAAACGTTTTTCTCGTATCCTTCATTGCATGTATATTTTGTATTGGAATAACGATGATTATTTTTCAGTGTCTGTGAAATGACTTTTGAAGATATTAGGATACTCAAATAGCATAAAATAATCTAATGATCTCTGTCTTTATATTAGTAGTGGGCACTTCCTTTCCCTAGAAGACGTCAATTGGTAACAACGTTGTAAATAGTGTTTAATCCTTGCCCGATGAGTTAAACGGGTTTTAATGCCTAAATATGTTTGTATCCTAAGCTTGTTTCGGAATTGTTTAGAATGAAAACGTTTCAGATTTAATTAGCAAAACAAAATGATACAAGAATCAGTTAATCAAGTACATTTAATATCGAAATGTGTTTGTGTCGGACGATATTATCTAGTAAGTATATGTGATTGTTCACTTACAGTCGTTAATGGTGTCACTAAACGATCGACATTTCTCTTCTGATACGCTTGATTTAATTGCATTGTGATTAAATTTCACCAAAACCCCAAACATAAGTTTGATATAACGATTGTAACAACATAAACTATTCAATTTCAAGTTAAATTCGTTAGAGGTTATGTACAAGCATATATTGACCATGTGTTTGCTCCCATATATGTGGGATAATTGTACCAAAGAACAAGAATCAATTCCAGAAAGTTTACACTTAGATTCATTACTGACTATTTGTGGGGCGACAAGGGGTACAAGTCATGAGGAACTTTATAGAGAAACTAACATAGCCAAAAGAAAACACTATTTCACAAGATTGAAAACATCTGTTCTGTTAGTGATTACTTTTAAAGAAATCGAACCAATTTACAGGCTACAAGTTGCTGAACAGAATGCTATGCCAGGTCATTCCTTCCTGATACCATTAATAATTGGAATAGTCACCTGATATAGAGGATTATTAAACTATTATTATAATTGGACAATGTTACTAATATTCAGTTATACCAGATTTCGTCACATAATCATTTATCGCCTCGGACTCGGTTGAAGTGATAAACTTCCAACGGCTTGAAAGACACATCTCAGATAACGCATCATGCATGCTCTTGTGGCTACCCCATGTACTGCATTTTTTTCACATGCCCTAACTACAATATTTTAAGAAACAATTCATCTTTCTATTCGAAAGGTTAGAGTTTGAATTCAGTGCATTATGGGAAACAAAATCTGTCAATTTAGCAATTTTGAATTTAGTCCCTATGTACATCCTACGTTCGTAAGAATTAATTCATATTTTAAGATATGTATTAAGTACTAAAGAGTTAAATAGCTTTTCTTAATAATTGAATACTTTTCCATCAACCGCACCAAACTGTTGGCCACTCGTTTGTATTCAGTTTTAATGTATATATGTATTATGTTTTATAATATGTATATGTATATATATATTAACCAACACATATCAATATTACTTGATGAATATAATTTTGTTTCTGGGGCAGTTTTTAGCAATCCCGATTCATTTACTGAATATAAAATATGTTAAAAGCATGAACAGTTTCCCATTCACATTAGGACATCTTCCAAAATACCACTTTTTTGTTTTTGTAAGAAATAATAAGAGGAAGTTTCGTGGGGGACTTTTGGGATGAATGAATACAGACTGTCATGTTGTCAGAGTAGATCTGTAGATCTTAACTATCACCGGGTGTGACCATGTAGACGGGACTTCATTCGGGTTTCTGATTTTGACAATTACTCCATGAAAACACTGAGTATTGGTGCTTGGGGATATAACATGTAACAGTTTGTTATCAGAGGAGATAGATAGTGAACTTTTAGTAACAGGTAGATATGATATCTATAGGATTGTGGGTATATGTGTGGGTAATCCTCTCACGTTGATGACAGAAAGTCACTCAACCAGTTCATGTATTCTACGTCAAAGAAGACCAGAACCCGTGTCTAATTACAACATCCTCAGAATACCAATAACAATGAAATGTAGAAATTAACAAACATGACCGACATTATTATTTCATGTTAAGCCCCTATCTCACATTCACGAATCTGAACACGAAGGAACACGATTTAACGTTTTTCCTCAAATCGTGTTAGAACGTATGAAGGTCGCGCACTCATTCGTGTTCATTCGTGTTAAGTCGTGGTCGGTCGAGCGCGGTCGTATGGACGTCGCAGCTCGGCTTAAATCGTGTCATAAAGTACTCACGCTTATAAATACCTAGGTGTTTGGCTACAGGAACATCTTGATTTGAACTTTACAGTTAAAGAAATAGCTAAATCTGCAAATAGGGCACTTGGTGTTATAATTTGTAAATTCAAAGCAGCTGGTGGTTTAGCTTATAACATTTTTACAACTTTGTACAATAACTTGTCCAGCCTATCTTATCTTATGGATCGGCAATTTGGGGAACTAAGGAATTTAGCTGTATAAATGCTGTCCAAAACCGAGCGTGTAGATTTTTCTTAGCAGTCGGTAGAAAGACTCCAAATTTGGCTGTCCGTGGTGAAATGGGCTGGACATCCTCATTTACAAAACAAAAAATTGAAATTCTTCGGTTCTGGCGCAGTTTGCATGCTGCAGATCAATCCCGAATGCTGAGTATTATTTGCAGATGGTCAGTAAAATTTCGTAGATCCTGGAATAATACAGTTTTCAGCTACTTTGTCAGTTTACATTTACCAATTTATGATCTAAATAATATTTCTACTGAAGAGTTTAACTTGTCTAAAGTATGTCTGTTATCCTTAGACCATTCTGATTGGTTACATGGACTCTGGAACGATACGGGCCAGGTAAATGGTAATAAGTTACGTACATACAGATTATTTAAAGATTCTTTATCAGTAGAACCCTATGTCAGTTTATTGATGAACAGATGTTTAGCGCAGTATATTAAGTAAGTTTCGCTGCGGCTCACTGCCATTAGAAATAGAATTGGGAAGATTCACCCGCCCGAAAACACCGCTTATTGAACGTATGTGTAAATTCTGTAATTGCAATGCTGTTTAGGATGAAATACACTTTTTTGCTGAATGTTCTCTCTATACAGATTTACGCTATGATTTATGGAATTTAGCTTCTCAATCAACTCCAAACTTTATACAGATGTCCGCTGCCGATCAGACCGTGTTCTTTATGCGGAACAATAAGGTGGTCAGACCCCTAGCCGCGCTTCTTCACCACATGTATGAGCGAAGACAACTGTGTCTTTCGTCTCAACCAACCTAGTTCCATGTATCTTAGTATCAGAATGTTCTGATAACTGGTGATAACTGGTGATAACTCATTTTTATGTATATGTATGTACTGTGATATTTCTTTATTGTCACTGCTGTACAGTGTGTGACACGAAAATAAAATAATTTTCTTCTTCTTCCATAAATTTTTGTATACTAATTTGGTTTGAACCCAACCATGCGCGTGCTAAATTATACAGACCAATGAATGTATGTATGTATGTATGTATGTATGTATGTATGTATGTATGTATGTATGTATGTATGTATGTATGTATGTATGTATGTATGTATGTATGTATGTATGTATGTATGTATGTATGTATGTATGTATGTATGTATGTATGTATGTATGTATGTATGTATGAATGAATGTATGTATGTATGTATAATGCAGGCACGGCCCGTTATGTATCATTTAATGTTTAGTAATCTTTCTCACTTTCTTATTAAAGGCATAATGATGGATAATCTATTGTGTTGCAGAAAAACAAGCATGGAATTCTCCGTTCGTTTTCGATAATTGGGATTGCATAAAAGAGGCGATTAATAAAATACGAAAGGAGCCTATGTGTAATACCATGTTTTACGAACCTTGCGAAACCAAACAGTTGATACCAAACTGTTCACTCGTTTCCTAGAAATGGTACGGCACGGGGGATC